AAGGGGATAATAAAATTTGTTCCCTTGCTTGGGAAACCTGAATTAATGACTTTTTTATGTTAGAATAATTTTATGGACAATTACTAAAATTTACTTAAAGAGTGATCATTTCATTCTAAGGAAAGTGCATTTGTATTTGTATTATTTTATCACACAAGTATTTATGAAATACTTCTTTAAGCCTTTTTTAGACTACATTTGGACTCTGGAATTATTGCAGCTCCCAGTAATGAATACACATCTCTTGTATAAAAGACATTTTCTTTTATACAAGGATATTTGAACATAAAATCTGTTTTTCTTTTGTACTATACAGGTACAGTGCTTTGCCTACCAACTATTTAATTTTTAATAGGAGATCAATCAATACCATGGACCTGATTCTTTATTACCCTGTGTCTTGCACAGTCACTTACATCTGTTCAAAGTTGGTGTAAAATTTTAGGATCAGATTCTTAGTTATGGTAAGGCTACTTTACACCACTCTATTAGAGTATGTCTACACAGCAAAGTTATTTCAAAATAACAGCCGTTATTTCGAAATAACTTTCCTAGAGTCTACACAAGCCAACTGGTATTTTGAAATTAATTCAAAATAGCAGAGGGCTTATTTCGAAATTGGTAAACCTCATTCCATGAGGAATAGCACCAATTTCAAAATTTCTATTTCAAAATAAGCACCATGTAGACACTTATTTCAAAATAGGGGGCCTCCAGCCCTTCCCAGGGTGCCCCGTTGGCCGCCCTGGCCACAAGGTAACTTCTGTTGGAACCAGTTCTGGCTGGCCTTAAATGTGATTCAGCGTCCAATCAGTGTGGATGTGCTATTTCGAAATAGCAAAAAGCTATTTCGAAATGCATTTTGTGTGTAGATGCATTATTTTGAAATTAGATATTTCGAAATAACGCTGTAGTGTAAACATACCCTTAGTGTAAAAGGGCACTATGTGGGTGTAAGTTAGTTTAAGGTACCTTTTAAACTGCTGCACAAGCTGGAATCAAGCACCATATATTTCTCATTATATTTATACTAGATTCTAGATTTTTCCTCTATTTAACATAAAATATTAAATTCAGCCACATTTATTATGAGGAAGTATGCCATATATTATTGATAAATTCAAGTTAAATTCTAATCTCTTTCTTTCCATTCCTGTAAGAGTATTTGGTGCCATCAACCATACTAGGAAGAGCAGATTTGTTTCTTGAATACCCAGTTCTTTAATATTATAGATCTAAGTAACTATTTACTTTTATTTATATCAGCTTAATTAAAAAGATATTATATTGTCCAAATAAACTATTTTTGTGAATACTTAGTGTTTTTAAAAATACAAATGGTAATAGTTTTAGGTGTAGATATGAAAAAGCAGAAAGATTGGATCAGGAAAAGCATAAAACTAGAGTTCTACTTGACTTCATACATCTCAGATTAAATGAAATTCCTCCTCATATAAAGAGCAATCTATTCTTAATTTAGAGGACAGTTACTTCGTAGAAGGTCAAAGTACTTAGTAAGCTTATCTCACATGTAATATATTATAAAAAATAATTTTACTACAATGGATGATTTTGTTACTGTTCTTCAGGAGAGCATATCCATCAAGGTTGCTAACAATTCCCAACTTCCCGATTGACATTGCTGATGCACCTCTTTACCCTACCCTTCTAAACAAAATAATTTATACTGGCACAGCCACATTCCTCTCCTGCTGTTTCCAGAATGTACTTAAAGGAATAGATTCACACAATTGTTATGTATATGCTTTATCAGTATTGTTAGTAATTGTTACCATATAGGTATCACTCTCGGTTTTTAACAAGAAGTGTGTACATATTTTATTTTTAATTAGTTATTTGATCTTAAGTTATATTTTTGTTGTTGTATTATGCCTTAAGCATCATACCAGAGGTTTGATTCAGTCTTCCTGACCACACCTCTCATTGTCTTTTACTGTAACCTTCACTGTATTTCATTCCTTCCTTCTGAGGAATCTTGATGTTTGAATCTTCTAGGCAGAGGAAACTGGAAAAATAGTGTGGCTGCAACTGTTCCAGAAACCATGGTGCTTTGATCTTTCAGTCTTTGTCAACCTGTAAGAAATATCTTCTTTACCCCAGTCCCTTTTAAGTAGAAAAAAAGGCAACTCCAAATCAGACTTCCCCTGACACCTTATATTTTTAAGTCACTCTGTCACTTTGTCAGTCAAGATTTCAGAATTATGTCGCAGCAAAAACTTAGGAGTGAGCTGGTGCACTATACACTCCAGATGTGTGGACAAAACAGGGTCTATATTTCAAAAAACGATGCGGGTAGTCTGATGTATATACTTGCATCCAAAAATAGTATCAAAAAAATTGAAATGATAATCATTGAAGGGAAAAGTTATCAAAATATAGTTTGAGAATTTATATAAGCTAGCAATTGTTTTCCAGAGCTGTTCACAGAGCTAACTACAAAAATCAGTAGATTTGAAGGTATGGGTCTTCTCTCCTTGTATTCTTAGAGAAATATTTTCTGCTCTCCTTTTCTATCCAGAAATGTATATAATATTCATCAGTGTAACATATTAGTGATTAGTATATTTTATTTCCGTATTAGAAAGATTATGAAATTCCATGACACAAAAATGGGAAACTTTTTTATGAATACTATTGTAACATTTTTTAAAAAGTAACAGTTGGATTTTTTGTGTGTGTGTTAAAAAACAAAAGTTAACTATTTGTTGTTATTTTTTATTTTTATTTTTTACAAACTACTCATTAAAAGAAATATCTATCATGATAATGAAAACCATTTTAAAAATCTATGCTTAAAACCTGCTTAATGGTGAACAAAATACTCAACCTTTTCCTGACTTTTATACCATTGGTTTTAGGAAATATGGTTAAAAGTAAAATGCTGCATTATAAAGGAGTTTTAGTTTTTTAACAATTTATCTTATTTTTTTGAGGGGGGGGGTTTGAGGCCTGCTATATTAGACTTTATTCCTTTTTACAGTACCCCATAATAAAGCAATATGCATATTTTAGTTGTTTGTATAATTCTTACGAAAGGGGATATGTGTGGATGGATGTGTAATATTTGATTATGTAAAACTTCAACAACAACAAATAGTCTGGTAGCACTTTAAAGACTAACAAAACATGTAGATGGTATCATGAGCTTTCATGTCATAGCCCACTTCTTCGAATGACCACATGTAGATGGTATCATGAGCTTTCATGCTCATAGCCCACTTCTTCGAATGACCAGAGAGTTGGAAGTCCAGAACCAAGAATAAATAAGGGAAGGAGGGGAGAGGGGAAAAGGACATTGGGTAGATATGTTTTAAAGGGATCCCTTTGAAACGTATCTACCCAATGTCCTCTTTCCCCTCCCTCTAATCCCCCCCATCGCTTAAAGTTTATGATACCATCTACATGTTTTGTTAGTCTTTAAAGTGCTACCGGACTAATTCTTGTTTTAAAAGTTTTTCCAG